AGGAAATGGGAGTAGAGGGGAAAGAGAGGGGGTAAAGGCCTGTGTGCGTATATTATTACAGTTTTAACTTTCAGAACCACGTTAATGTGCTAAACATTCAAAAACTAAACTAACAGAGGGAGGAAAGAAAACTAATCCAAGTAACTTTCAATACAGTCCTCTGACGACATATCTTCAATGTAAAGACAAAAAGAACATCGAAGAGCCCTCACTGGGGCGGCTCAGTCGGTTGAAGTTCGATGTCTGGTCAGGGCACATGGCTGGGCTGTGGGTCCAGTCCCGGCAGGGGCACTTACAAGAGGCAACTAACTGATGTTTCTCTCTCACATCAATGTTTCTCTTCCTCTTTCTCCTTGCCTTCTTCTCTTTTTAAAAATAAATAAGTAAAATATTTAAAAGAAAGAACATTAAAGAAATCTTGAACTCCGAAGCAAGTTTGTTATTTGCAGTGGTCAGGTACAGTAACTCTGGAACAATTTGATATGTAAGGTAATATCGAATAAATAAGTATGTTGCTAGGAGACAACATACTCACTACGAGAGAGGAAGACAAGACAGAATGGGGGAAGGAAAGGAAGAACCCTTCCTGTGGTGCAGGACTAGCACCGAAACACACACACACACACACACAACCCTAGCTGTCTGCTAAAAGAGCAGAGCAGCAATGACATCCCGGTAGAATAAGAATACCTAATGCCCAGATCTTGGTTTCTAAAAACGCTCCTCCCACTCAAAGGAATCAGCACTCCCTAGAGAAGTGAACAATTACATTGTTTGGGGCAAGGAAAGTATGACGTAAGCCCAGAATATCTCGTATACCAAAAAGTAAAGAAATATAAAATAATCCAGGGATAATTTGAGCATCAAGATAAATAATGGATTACACGATAAATTGTAGCCTATTTATAAAGTAAGAATTCATGAGTCAATGTTGGTACTAAATAAATGAAGAAGTCTTTTTTTCTCACCACAGAATGCCCACTAACAAAATTTATGTAAAGGAAATGACAAGAGTTAGAGAAATAACCATTATGCAACTATCATAGTAATAACTGATCTGCCAGGAATCATCAATGGATGCTAAAACTATGAAGTAAAGATTTTCGGAAACTGGATGTTTATACATCTCAAAGAATCTCCCATACAGAGAAGTTGTTAATTTCAAAGACGAGCCTGGTACCTTTCCAGTGGAGAAATGTGACAGAAACCACCTTAACCAAGAGATCAGAATCAGTGTCAACAATGGAACCAACAGCTACGATGTACCTCCTGATACAATGTTCTGCAGTACAGGACAGTGGATTTACTATTCCTACAAAAATCCATATGCTGAGTCTGACTATAAAGAAACATCAGACAAACCCAAACTGAAGGATATTCTACAAAAATGTCAATGTAATGATAGATAAAGAAAAGAAACTAAACAGACATGACAACTAGAAATCATGATGATAATAATATGTATATAGAAACTGGTAAGTCACCCAGGCCAGGTGGCTCAGTTGGTTGGAGCATCATCCCATACGCCAAAAGGCTGCAGGTTCGACTCCTGGTCAGGGCACATACCCAAGTTACTGTTTGCTCCCCTGACGAAGCTCATATGGGAGGCAACTGATCACTGTTTCTCTGCCTACCCCCCGCCTTTCTGCCCCTTTCTCTTTCTCTAAGATCAATAAACACATCCTTGGATAAGGATTTAAAAAAATAAAACTGATAAAGCAAATGAGGCAAAATGTTAACAAATGGTGACTCTAGATAAAAGCCCACCAAAGTTTACTGCAGAATACTGGCAACTTCTCTGTAAGTTTTTTTTTTTTCCAAAATGAAAGTTTAAAAATTAAACTAGCCCTGGCTGGTGTGGCTCAGTGGACTGAGCGCTTGCCCACGAAGCAAAAGGTTGCCGGTTGGATTCCCAGTCAGAGCACAAGCCTGAGTTTTGGGTCAGGTCCCCCACAGTAGGGGACACATGAGAGGCAACCACACATTGGCGTTTCTCTCCCTCTCTTTCTCCCTCCCTTCCTCTTTCTTTAAAAATAAATAAATAAATAAAATCTTTTAAAAAATTAAACTAAAGATCAAAGGGGGGGAAAATAAATAAAGCTAAAGGGACCAAAGTCCCCTGTTACAGATAATGAACCAGAAACAAAGTAAAAATAACTGAATGGTTTAGGATTACAAATAGAGTTACAGGAAAATTCAAGATTCTAATTCAGCCCTGGCTGGTACAGCTCGGTGGACTGAGTGCTGGCCTGCGAACCAAAGGGTCTGTGGTTGATTCCCAGTCAGGGCACATGCCTGGGTTGTGGACCAGGTCCCCAATAGGGGGCATTTGAGAGGCAACCATACATTGATGTTTCTCTCCCTCTCTTCCTCCCTCCCTTCCCCTCTTTCTAAAAAAACAAATAAATAAAATAAAACGAACTCAAATTTATAGTTCAAGTTTATCTACTCAATACAATTCTAAAAAATAATCACAACACGATTTTTCCATATAATGTCACTATTTAATGCCAGTAACAATTAACATATTTCACGAGATCCCAAAAGAAGAATATGAGAAAAAAGGTGGTACTGAACAAAAAAAAATTGTGTAAGTAGTTGGTTCATTTTGCCTTAATAATAAGGAGGGATCAAAGGCTAACATATTGTTCCTTTCTGGATCCTTCAATAGACAAGAATATCCTTATTCTCCTAAATTGTGCCTTCTCCAATATCTTTATTTAAGAATCCTTTCCTTGGGTCATTCTAGATTCCTTAATACAAATCTGCACCTGAGGGACTTCAGCCAAGATGGAGGCGTAGGTGGAAACACTGTGCCTTCTCGCACAACCAAGTTTAAAAACAACAAAGTTTTAGCAATAAAACACAGCCAAACCACAGAAAATCGAACTATATGGAAGTCTGACAACAACGAACCCTTCAGCCAAACCGGTAAAAGGGGCAGAGCCAGCAGCAGAGCAGGGTCGGGCAGGAAAGATCCACCGGACCAACCGGGATGCTCGACCCAGGCACACTGGCAGCCGTGGGCAGATCCCAGGTGTGGAGTGGTGGTGGGCAGACCCACTGAGGGTGCAAGGCGGTGGACCCACAGAGGGCTGATCGCAGTCACACATTTGGGCACAGATAAACCTGTGAAGGAGCCAGCAGTGAGACAGACCACGCAGGCCCCAGGGACAGAAGCAGCAGAGGGGACCACCATTGTCCCTCTCTGACCCCGCCCCCACATATGGCATCACAAACCAGCGACCTGGGTGGCCCCGCCCCGGTGAACATCTAAGGCTCCACTCCTCACACGTAACAGGCGTGGACAGATCAAAACATGGCTCAAGAACAACTCAGAGACCCAGAGCTGATAAATCTAAGTGACCAAGAAATAGCCAAACTTTCAGATGCACAGTTCAAAACACTGGTCATCAGGATGCTCACAGAACTGGTTCATTTTAGTCACAAATTAGAGGAATGTATGAAAACTAAACTAACTGAAATGAAGGGAAATGCACAGAAAACCAATAGTAATGGAAAGGAAACTGGGACTCAAATCAAAGGAGTGGACCAGAAGGAGGAAAAAAATGACCAAACAGAAAAGGATGAAGGAACAAGAATTCAAAAAAAGGAGAGGCTTAGGAACCTCCAGAACATCTTTAAATGCACCAAAATCCGAATTATAGGGGTACCAAAAGGGGAAGAGGAACAGCCACCAGTGGAAAACTTATTTGAACAAATAATAAAGGAGAACTTCCCCAATCTGGCAAAGGAAATAGACTTCCAGCAAGTCCAGGAAGCTCAGAGAGTCCCAAAGAAGTTGGACCCAAGAAGGAACACACCAAGGCACATCATCATTACATTAGCCAAGATTGAAATGAAGGAGAGAATCTTAGAAGCAGCAAGAGCTAAGGGGACAGTCACCTACAAAGGAGTTCCCATCAGACTGTCAGCTGATTTCTCAAAAGAGACCTTACAGGAAAGAAGGGGCTGGAAAGTATTCCAAGTCATGAAATCCAAAGACCTACATCCAAGATTGATCTATCCAGCAAAGCTTTCATTCAGAATGGAAGGGCAGATAAAGTGCTTCTCAGATAAGATCAAATTCAAGGAGTTCATCATCACCAAGCCCTTATTATATGAAATGTTAAAGGGACTTATCTAAGAAAAAGAAGACAAAAAAGATGAAAAGTGAAAGGACAGCAAACTCACAGTTATTAAGAACCACTCCTAAAACAAAAGCAAACTAAGAGGACAGCTAGATCAGGAGCAGAACCATAGAAATGGAGATCACATGGAGGGTTAGCAACAGGGAAGTGGGAGAAGGAGAAGGGGGGAGAAGGTACAGAAAATAAGTGACATAGACGGTAGATAGAAAATAGATAGGGTGAGGGCAAGAATAGTATGGGAAATATAGAATCTAAAGAACTTGAGACACATGGTCATAAACTAAGGGGGGGAAGGTGGGGGAGGGGTATGCAGGGTGGAAGGGGATGAAGGGGGAAATAGAACAACTGTAATGGCATAATCAATGAAATACTTTTTTTAAGAAAAAGAAAAAAAATTAAGAAAAAAAATCTGTACCTTATTTGACTGACTTCACCCCACTGCCATTCATTCATTCATTTAACACAGATTTACTGAGCCTCAACCAAGTGCTGGGCCCGCTTCTCTTTCACCAGAGACACAGTAGTGAAAAGTCAAATTCCCTGCCTCACAAAGCTTGAGCTCTACTGGGGAAGACCGACAACATACAAATAAATAAAAATGTAATATATAAGCACTGTAACAAAAATTTTTTGATGAAAAACCACAGATTTTTAATTTACTTATTGAGGTAACAGAGCCACAGAAGGAAGGACACACCTCTACAAAAAGGTAACATTTAAGCAGAGACATGAAGTAAGGGAGATCTGAGAATGTCTGAAAAAAGGGCACAATAAAAACCCTAAGGGGGAAGGGTAGGCAGGGAGGTACGGGCGGAACAGACACAGCATGCTGGAGGCCCCCAAACTCACCTTACTGTATGTGGAGAGCTGATCATTCAGGCTCTGACAATGCAACATGGTTCCAAGGGCTACTTGCTGCACCAACTGTTGAAATTTTAGGTTTCTTGAAACAAAATCTGTCTCACAATTTACCTGTAGGAATAAGTTGATACTGCTGTATAAGCTATTTACTGATAGTTTCCAAAAGTGCCTTAAGGTTAGAGAGTAAACCAAGGTGTGGACAGAACAAGCTGCAGAAATAAATGACCCTAGCCCTGGGTCAGTTGATTGGACTGGGTCATCCTGCAAAGTAAAAGGTCTCCAGTTTGATTCCCGGTCAGGGCACATGCCTGGTTGCAGGCCAGGTCCCTGGTTGGGGCAGGTGCAAGGCAAGCAATCATTGTTTCTCTCACACATTGATGTTTCTCTCCCTCTTTCTCCCTCCCTTCCCTCTCTTTAAAAATAAATAAATATCTGAAAGAAAATTTTAAGGAAGAAAAAACGCCCAGAATTCTAAGCCTGTAGCTTCCTTCCAAGCTTGAGGCCAAAAACTGAATGAAGTGATTTCTACTGTGTTCCTTAGTTAGCAATGGCCTGTACAGAGGATGATTCCATAATGTCCCCAAAGGACTCACCACAAGTTCATCGCCTGCCTATGGCTACATGCCATAATCAACTCATTTTCCAGCCTCTACCAACTACAAACCAGTTTTGTTATCAGCTTATTTTATCTCCTTCTCTCACTCTACACTCTAATCCACCCTTCTGATTCTTCAGCAGTTGTGGCCCTGAAACCTCTACAACAGCTACTCTCTATCCATCACCTAATTAATATAATTCCTAGCTTTAAAATCAAACTTGTCCAGGAAGCAATCAGTTCTGAGGGGTAAGGCTACTCAAAACTCACATTTAGGAGTACTATTCTAGGCCTTTTCTCATCAACACATATGTGCATTTCTAAACTTAAATGAATCCACAGCTAATAATTGTGGTCTCATGGGTTTAAACTCAACTACCCTTTATGGTTCTCAAAGACCTCTTCCTTTTTTTAATAAGATTTTATTTATTTTTTAGAGAGAGGGGAAGGGAAGGAGAAAGAGAAACATTGATGTGTGGTCGCTTCTTGCATGTCCCCTACTGGGACATGTACCCTCAGGCATGTGCCTTGATTGGGAATTGAATCAGCAACCCTTTGGTTCACAGGCCAGCACTCAATCCACCGAGTCACACCAGCCAGGACTCAAACACCTCTTCTTTAAGAATGAAAAGAGCTGTCACCAGTGTGGCTCAGTTGCTTTAGCGCCCTCCCACAACAGTGAAAGATCACAGGTTTGATTCCTGGTCAGGGCACATGTCTGAGTTTCAGGTTAGGTCCCCAGTTGAGGCGTGTAGGAGAGGCAACTGATTGATGTTTCTCTCCCTCTCCTTCATTCTCCCTTCCCCTCCCTCTAAAAATAAAAATAAAATCTTAAAAAAAAAAAAAAAAGCAAAGAATCTACCACAAAGCCTTACACTGAAGGGACAGCCGTTCCTGGTACCTGGAATTCTAACAACTCACCTCCACTAACACAGTCGTGTTTTCTTCCTGCAGCAGCCCAATCAGGCCTTCTTTAGTCTTCCTGCCGTGCAGCTTGGCAGCTTTGCTCCAGCCCTCCTTCTGGGCCTGTTCATGCAGCCAATGCTCTGCCTATAAATTGAAAAGAAATGGGGCAGATGACAAACTCATAGAATTTAAAACTGAATGGGACTCTAAAATATGTTCAGGTCCCCAACACTTTCTGCTTCTCTTCAATCCCACAATAGAAAATGAAGTAATCCATCATTTACTGCACAGGTGGAAAACACAAGGCCTGCGAGTGGAATCTGGCCCTCCACCTTGTTTTACACAACCCAACACCTTGTTTCTACACAGAGCACCACTGAGCTCTCACTTAACAGTTAAGTAGTTACATTTATACAGTCCTAAAGTTACATTCGCCTTTTGAAGGCAACCATGAGGCTGATGTGCCCCTCCCCCATTTAAAGTGAGTTTGATACCCCTATACTGGCAGCTTACCACTAAATGCCAAATTCTGCCTGGTGCTTTGGATAAGCTTAATCTTCACAACAACGTTATGGAGCAGACAGTAGTATTTCCATTTACAAGAACAATGCACCTCTGAAAAATTAAGTAAGGTGTCCAAGGTCACAGGGTCAGTGTGAGGGCACCAAAATTTTAGTCCTAGTCTGACTCCAAAGTGCACACAGCCCTTTCAGCTCCAAGCCGCAGGAAACAGCATTACAGTTTGCAAAATGGAATAAGGTTTGTTAACCCTGGCATCCTGAGTCAATTGCTTCCTCCTTACACGGAGTCAAAGGCTGAGGTGGTCATTTAAAGTCAGAATCCTATCTAGAAGGCGGCCGTTAGGAATACTGGACAGCGACCTCCCTGTGAGACAGACCCGACCCTAGTACCAGCCCTGCTCCCTTCCCTGCCTCCCACACACCTGTTTGAGATCCCCGCCACAAGTCTCCAGAGCCTTCTTGCAGTTTACAAAGGAATAGCCCGTTTTTCGTCGCAGCTTCATAAGGAGCTCCTTGCTGGAGGCCGAGGAAGACAGCCAGGGCCCAGCGTGAAATGTGTGCCATGGCTGGGGCGACTGCAACGGAGGGGGCCCTATCTGGAAGGGGTGAGAAGAAAGGAATGAGAAGCAGAACGCAGCGAGGCGCTCCGGGCCAGAAAGCACGCGCCCCTGGAGGCGAACTCAGGAGGGCCTGGGGCGAAAGGCAGCGCAGGGGAGCTGCACCGCGAAGAGGCAACGAGATGGGGGGAAGGGAGGGACGGAGTCCGAAAGGGGGTCGGAGGCAGGGGCGCACAGGAGACCTGCAAGGAAAGCAGGTCGGTGCAGAGACCAAGACCTTCACCTGGCAGCTCCCCGTCCGCGCGAAGAGGTAGAAGCGCAGTGACCGCAATAGCGACATCTTCCCGGCCGCCGCAAATTGCCGCGGGCCGGCGCTCTGGTGAGGCCACCGGCCTACGGCTGCGCGGCAGGGCCAAACTTATCCACCGGAATGTGCCGAACGGGGATATCGCCACCTGCTGGTCGGAGGGAGCACACTCTCCTCACCCCACTTGGCTTACTGAACTGGGAGGCAGAATTACTCGCGGGTGAAATGGAAACACTAAGCCAAAGTCGTCACAAAATAACAATACAACACCTGTGATAACATTTTGTTTCTTTATTTATAATGCTCTTGCATATTCATTAACCATTCTTGACTCAAGACAAAGTTGTGAGGTAGGTAGATGGGTCCAGAAATTTGCCAGGGGTTGCCTAGGGAGGTGGGGGCTCAGTGCCTTCAACAAACCCAATAAATATTTAAGTGAGGAAACTATTTGTTGAACACTACAATGTACCAGGAACTGTGCCACAGTTTCAGGGAATTAGAGCTAAGTAAATGACAGCCCTACCCCCCACAGTAGTCTAATGGTGAGAAAATAAGGAGCAGACATCTTGACTACACAAGTGTCATAAGATGAACATTTAAAGGGTGTCAAAGGAGAAAGAAATCACATCCAAACACAAGGTTCGTAAAAAGCTTTTTTCAGGATAAAGACTAAGAGTAATGAAGATTCTACCAAACACAAATAGTCCTTTCAGGGAGGAAATCACCAAATAGAATGATGAAAGAAGTCAGGGAATCTTGGTGTAGGCTTAGGGAACAAAGAGTAGACCTTTTATAATTTGGCCCAAGGTTGCAATATATTTTGGAAATCAGTAGTAGGAAATGAGGAAGAGGGTCATTTGAGATTACAAAAGATAGACTGAGTACCAAGAAGAGGAGCTCAATCTTCTGTAGGCAACAGCAGAAGCTAATCAGGGCTGATTTTAGAAAATCACAAGAGCTGGAAGCCCAGAGGCCAGAGGAAGTGATGTGTGGCCCCAGGAGTAAGGATAGCCCGAACCAGAGCTACTACGGTGGGAAGAGAAAAGAGGTGAAGACAAAACACATTGGGAAGGAAGGACTGACAGGACTTGGAAACCCAGATAAAAATCAAATGAACAACCTAGTACTTAGTGATCAGGGTCCCAGCTCCAAAAAGGATAAAGAAACTACAGGCCAAAGGACAGCTCTGCTGCCTACCCCCAACTCCAGGCCTGGGAGGACCTGACCCAGTTAGAACCACGATCCCACCAGAGTATCTCTAGACCCGAGAAGTGGGTGGTCTGGGACTTCTTACTTCCCAGCACCCTAACAAAAGCCTGAGTTCTCTGGATGTAGAAGAGCTCTTTAATGCTCATGTTTCTTTCCCTTTAAAAAATATTCCAGTAGAGCCCTGGCTGGTGTGGCTCAGTTGGTTGGAGTATCTTCCTTCATTTCTCGGAAAGGGCACATACGTAGGTTGTGGGTTCGATCCCCAGTCCAGGGGCATATGATCCCTGGTCCAGGAGGGTGTAGGAGGTGGCCAATAGATGTTTCTCTCACACCGATATTTATCTCTCTCCCTTCCCCTCTCTCTAAAATCAGTAACAACAATAAAAAAATGCCCCTCAGGTGAGGATAAAAAATATTCCAATAGAATCTGGCAAAAAAAAACCCCACAAAACCCTATTCTGTATAAAAAGACAACAGCAGGACTGGAAGTGATCAACGACTGTCTCTCTGCAGCCACTGCTCTCGCATCCCGGTTACCTTCCCTTTCCCCACTGAAAACCCTGGCTATCCTCCCATCATCCTTTGCTGAGAACAAGAGCTGGGAACTTCCTTTCTGCTCTACCCCAGTGCTGCTGGGGCTCGAGGATTCCTGGCAAGCAGGCACATCCCTTCACCAACCCAAAAGTATCTGGGAGAACTAAGAGGGTAGGAGGAAAGACAGAAGCAAGGGAAATCCATCCTTTTTGGTCCTTATGTTTCTCCCTTTGAAGATATGGCCATTCCTTCATTTGGACAAGGGGTTCGGAGGAGGAGGGTGACATCAAGTAGGTCTTGGTTCCCTGTGCTTGGCCATATAGATGTTGACATTTTCATCCTCATCCCGCTGGGCCAGCTCCAGCTGGAAATGCTGGGGCAGGAGGTGCTGAAAGAAGCTCTCTGTCCCATGCTCCTCTCTCATCTTGGAGGCCAGATAGATGGTGCCTTGGGGACCACACAGGTGTTGGAGGGTCCCCAGCAGCAGTGGAAAGGTGGGCTGCAGATACACGATATCAGCCCCCAGCACCAAGTCATAGTCGCCAGGGAAGACATGTTGATCGATCCCCCAGGACAAAGCAGAGACCCGGGCCCGGCCTCCAGCTGGCACATTGGCCTGGACGTTGCCCTGGATCTGTTCTAGGGCCAGGGGCAGGTCAGTGATGGTAACATCCCCCCCTGAGAAAGAGGAAGGAGAAGAAATGCGAGTCAGTGGGACCAACAAAGGGGTCTCAGCTCTTGCCCAGAAGGTCCCAGAAGGTCCAGAGGCCTCAGGGCCTAGAGGACAATGTCTTGACAGACCAAAGTCCAACTTTCGGCTTTTAGTTGCCCTGACCTCCATCTTACCCACTGCCACTCTCATTACTCTACATTCTACAACATCAACATTCTCTCTGAGCTAATCTTCAACCCCTCTGCTCAAAACACAGCAGTCACATGTCAGCAGAAGCCTGGGAGGCACTAAGCTGGAGAAGTGCTATGCACCCACCCCCTCCTGACACAGACCAGCCTTCGGGGGTCTGGAAAGCTTCCCAGAAGATGTGACCTCAGTGAGCCTTAAAGGACAAGTCAGAGTTAGTCAGGTGGTACTTTCCAAGCAGAGAACAGGGAGTACAAAGGCCTGGTGGCGAGACAGCATGGAGTATTCAAGGGACGCTGGACCCTGGATCACATGGAAGTGTCAAGGAGGAGAAGTGTCAAGACATGAGAGTAAAGAGAAAGAATGATTATGACATGTTGAAGAGATGTAGGCTTGATCCTGCACTGAGGGCAATAGGTTTTAAATGTAGAAGTGGGGGGTGAAGATAATCAGATTAGCATCTCAGAAAGCTTCCTTCATGCAATAAATACATGTACTGAGCATCTAAGTTCCAGGAATACAGTGGTGAGCAAGACAGAACTTCAAAACCTCAGCCTTCCTAGAGTTTTATCCTAGAGGGAGAGACACACTAAGTACTGCAAAACTCTTTAATCATAACCATGATGACCATTAATCATTCATTCATTCAGTACTGGCTCGTGTGGCTCACTGGATTGAGTGCTGGCCTGCAAATCAAAGGGTCGCTGGTTTGATTCCCAGTCAGGGTACATGGGCCAGGTTTCAGGGCCAGGTCCCCAGTAGGGGGCATATGACAACGAACCACACATTGATGTTTCTCTCCCTCTCTTTCTCCTTCTCTTCCCCTCTCTCTGAAAATAAATAAATAAAGTCTTTTAAAAAGTAATTCATTATTCATATTTATTATGCCAGGTGCCTATATGCCAGGTGCCAAGAATACCACAGTAAACCAATGTAGATGACAAGCCCTCTGCTCATGGAACTTACAGTCTAGTAGCAAGAAACGGACAACAAACACAACACTTAAAATACGCTGTACATCGGATGAAAATAAGTGCTCTTTTGAATGAAGCATCAAGCAGGGAAGGAGGATAAGAACGGCTTGAGGCACAGGCAGGGGTATAATTTTCAATGGGATGGCTAAGGAAACCCCTTACTGAGGAGACAGTTTGGACAAAGACCTAAGTGATGGGACAAACCACTTGGACGTTTCAGGCTAAAATAACCAAATGAGGGACCGGTGCGTGCAAAGACCTCGAGGCAGGAGTGAGCCCGGCAGGCCTGAGGAGCAGCAGGAAGGCCTGTGGCTGGAGCAGAGCAAGTGAAGAAGATAAAAGCAAGCACCAGATCCTAACCAGGGCCTTTTCAGGAGACTGTAAGAAACCTGGCTTTTAATCTGGGTGAGATAAGGAGCTACTGGGCAATTTTAAATGGAAGAATGGCATGCACTGAGTTATGTTTTTAAAGGATTACTCTGGCTACTGGGATGAGAAAAGACAGCAGAGAGGCGGGGTGAGAAGCAAGGAAACCAGTTAGGAGGTAGCCGCACTGACCCCAGTGAGGTGATGGTGGTTTGAACCAGGGCAGTAGCAATGTCTGCCTAAGAAATGGTTGGATCCTGAATATATGTCGATGGTAGAGCCAACAGATTTGCTGACGGATTAGACACGAAATATTAGAGAGAAATTGAGCCTGGCACCAAGGTGTTTGGCCTGACAACTGGAAGAGTGAATTGCCATTCATCTAGATGAGGAAGACTTCAGGAGGAACAGGACTGGACAGGAAGATTCTCAGTTTGTTTCTGGACACATTAAATGTGAGATGTCCATCAGACAAGCACACACTATCTGAGTAGCAGGAGGTCACATGAGCAAGTCTAGAGGTGGAAATGGACAAATCAGAGTATCACCCGCACAGAAAGGGCACTTAAATCCATGACATGATGGGACTGCTCAGGAGTCAGTGCAGACAGCAAAGGGAAGGGCTCACAGCACATCTTCTGAGCCCGGGGGCACTCAAATTTTCAGTTGTGAGGATGAAAAGAAACCAACAAAGGAGAATGGAAAAGAGTGCAAGCAAGGTGGGCAGAAACTAGACGTGTGGTGGTATCCTGGAAACCAAAGGAAATGCTTCAAGGAGGAAGGAGTGCCAAATCCTGCAAAGTTAAGAAAGGTGGGCTCATAACTGACTCCTGTGTTTAACCCCGCGCAGTTGGAAGTGAAGCTCACAGCTTCGACTAGAACAGCTGGAGTGGACGGGGCAGTGGATGGGGTCGGGGCAGAGTTGTCTACTTAACGTGGAATGAGAAAAGAATAGGAAGAAAGGAACCCTTGAGGAGTTTTGTCGTAGAAGAGAAATGGCGTGGTACCAGGAGGGATATGTAGGATGTAAACTTCTTCTGAAATAGGAGAAATTGCAGTGTATTTATGTGCACTACACACACACACACACACACACACACACACAGAATGATCGGAGAAAAGAAAAATCTGATGACGCATGAGAGATGTGGGAGGAGAGGTGTTTGCTGGAACAATGCCTTGGAGTAGATGAGAAGGTTTAATTTCTCTTGACAAGTGGAGGGCTTGACCTTAGCTAGGAGCATAGCATTCATTCATGGTACACACACGACAGGAGAGAAGGCAGCACCCACAGGCCCGGACGCAGAGGTTAGGTGAGCAGAGGTCCTGAGAGGAATGTCTGGACTTTCCCTATGAGAAAATAGAAGCAATCAGAAGAGATTGGAAACAAAGTCACCAGCTGAGGGTAAAGACCCGGGAGGAAGCATTTAAAGGTTTAAAGGGTAAGAAGGTACAAATCAGAAGTTTGGGAGAGAAAAACAAGTGATTGAGGGAGATGTAAGAGGCTAGCTGGGTAGCACTTAAGGATGCACCTGAGGTTAGTAACAACAAATTTAAAATGAAACCAGTCAGCACAGTTGTGTATATACTAGGAGGGCCCAAGCTATCCTGGGAGTGGCTGTGTCAAGGAGGCCTTCCCTTGGAAGTGATGTTTGGGCTGAGCACTAAAGAGTGCACATGGCCCTGGCTGGTGCAGCTCAGTGGATTGAGCACAGGCCTGCGAACCAAAGGATTGTGGTTTGATTCCCAGTCAGGGCACATGCCTGGGTTACAGGCCGGTTCCCAGCAGGGGACACACGAAAGGCAACTATACATTGATGTTTCTCTCCCTCTCTCCTTCCCTTCCCTTCTAAAGATAAATAAAAAATTTTTTTAAATGTATATGTATTAACCAGCTGGTACAAGGGTTTCAGACACAGAGTGTGGCCTGTGTGAAGTCTCCAAGGAAGGGAACATCAAGATAGACTTGAAGCCCTGGCTGGGTAGTTCAGTCAGTTAGAGCGTCATCCTGATATGCCAAAGTTGTGAGTTCAATCCCCAGTCAGAGCACATACAAGAATCACCCAGTGAATGCATAAATGGATAGAACAACATATTGATCTTTCTCTCTCTCTTTCTCTATCCATTCCTCCCTCTCCAAAATCAATAAATAATAATTTTTAAAAAAGGATAGACTTGAGGAACTGAAAGAAGGGTAGCACAAGGCCATACAGGAAGGGGAGGGAGAGGCACAGGAAGAGGCTAGAGAGGGAGGCAGGGCCTTACAGGGCCTTAGAGGCTATGCTCAACCTGTTGACTATCCTGAAAGCAACAAGAAGCTACCGAAAGATGAAGTGGCAGGTGATTACAATCACATTTTTAAAAAGATCACTCTGACTGCTAGGTGGAATGGGCAGAGGTCTCAGTGGTGAAAAGGAGTCAGAGCAGGAAGATCAGTTTCACTAACTGTGGTAGTTTCCAAAAATAATGGTGGTGCCATGGGCTGGGGAGCTATCAATGTCCACAACATGAGGTTTAAGAGACTGCTAGGAGATGAAATCAATAGGACCTGAATAATGGGTCTGGGGTTGAGAAAACCAGATGTGTCAAAGGTGATTTCTAGGTTTTCCACTAGGCAATGGTTTAATTCACTGCAGTGGGGAAGTCTGAGGTTTGGGGAAAGTCAAGTTTGGGGACACTAAACTTCCCCATCTGAAAGCTCTCACAAAAATCCAGGGAAAAGAGGGGGGAGGGGAAAAAATTCAGGGAAGAGAGGGCAGCAGCCTGAACTAGAGATGGTGGGAAGAGTACACAACCGGGGGAGCATTAGGGACACATGACCCATAGGATTGGCTGATTGCTACGATGGGAGGAAAGAGGGTAAGGGACGAGATGACAGTCACGCTTCTGGCTTGGCAGCTGAACAGGGGTCACAGGAGGAGAAACCAGCCTAGGAGCAAGTGAAAGCAGGTGTTCCCAACCACATTACTTGCCCTCCTCCCACTTTAGCATAACTGCCCACCTCTCATTCACCCATCCTTCACGGAAAACTACTGTTGGCACTCCTTCAGTCCCTTCTGAGCCTGCTAAGTTCACACTGTTCACCTCTTTCCCTCCTGACAGAGCTTCTCCTTGGATTCCAAGGAGCCAAGGGAGATACGGCCAAAGTATGTCCGCTGGTGCTGTGCACACGTCTCCAGAGTTCTTGTACTGTAACACCCTCCCTGCCTTCCCCACTAGACCATGAGCTCCTTGGGGAGAGGAAATCTGCCTTACTTGTATTTAAATGACCTAGCATAATTCCTGGCACAAGAAAATTCCAGATACCTGTTGGCTGAATGAATAGAAGAAATCTCTCTGGGAAGTACGAATTCAGGACATGTTAATCTGCATTTCTAGGGAGATGACATCATAAGTGCTTTTATTTATTTATTTATTTATTTTTCATAAGTGTTTTTGCCCTGGCTGGTGTAGCTCAGTGGATTAAGCACAGGTCTGCGAACCAGAGAATCACAGTTCGATTCCCAGTCCGGGCACATGCCTGGGTTGCCGGCTGGTTCCCTGCAGGCCAGTTCCCAGTAGGGGATGCATGAAAGGCAACCATACATTGATGTTTCTCTCCTTCTCTCCTTCCCCTCTAAAGATAAATAAATAAAATCTTAAAAAAAAATGAAGCAAAGTTTTTCTTACCTTTTCCTTTTCCAAGTGTGCGGTACCTAATTCCTACCCTATTTCCCACAAAACACATCCTATTCCTCAGAAACTCTTAAGCTTTCTCCCAAGTGATCAAAACCTTAAAAATCTAAAGAATACTCATAATAAAGTTATAAAGCCTTCATAGGGTTTAATACCCACAAGTTACTTCCCCTACAAGGTACCCCCAAATATGCATGTTGCCAGAAGACCATGCCCAAAGCAAAGGAGCTTTTAAGTGACGATATTGTCCGTGAAATCACACACACACAAAAAAAAAGGTAGAAAAAACTCCTTCTATTAAGGCCTCCCATTTTTATATCCTACCCCCAAATCAATGACCTTGTGTATTCCGACAGCCAATGAGCCCTGCCTGCCACACAAAGCAGGCAGGAGAAAAAAAGTTTGTTAAAAGAAAAATAAGGTGCTGTTCTGGTTCCAAACCATTCTCCCCTCGGAAGAACCCAAGAAGTGACATTTCTCCACACCCTGTTCCCCAACCCTCTCCCGCCACAAAGCTCACGCACCCTGCAGCGCCGCCAAGATCCCCACGATGCCGGTCCCCGCGCCTAGTTCGATCACCTTCTTGTCTCGGAAATCCACATTTTGGTTTTCGAAATAGTTGCACAGGGTCAGAGCCTATAGGAGAAAAAAAGGGGGGGAGTGGGAAACTGTCACGGGGTGGCTCCATATGGCAAAGGGAGAGTCTGGGGTCTGGACCTTCTGCGGATCCTCGCCCAGGGCCACCCACTGCTCACCGCATCCCACACGCGCGCTGCCACCCCAAGGCGGGACCCGAAGTTCTGCGTGATGCTCAGTACGTGCCCACAGAAATGGAAACGGCTCTTCTCCGAGTAGGAATCAGCGAAGAGCGCGACCTCCCTCGGGAACACCGATTCGCGCTCGGAGGCGGGATCTGGGCGAAGATCCCCCATCTGGCCCGAAGGGTTCAGGACGCGGCAGCCAGCCCCGGGGTTCCGGATCTGGAGCTGGACGCCGGCTGGGGGACCTCGGGCCGTCTCGGCTGCCCCGTGGCACCGAGCCCCGCCCCCCTGAGCTCGCTCTCCTTCCTCCAGTTTGACTTCCTGGCGGTGCCATGAGCAGCCGACCTCCGCTCCGGTCCCCAGCCCAGTCCAGACCCACAGGACTCACTCCTGACCAGGCAGATCAGACTCGGCAGTCCCGTCTGCGATCGGGCAAGAGGGGAACGGCGCGAGGTTTAATTCTACTATAGGAAGTGGGGTCCCCAGACCCCTTTTACCTGCGCGACGCACGGCTTCCCGCAACCAGGACGGTGACCCAGACCGGCCGACGCAGGCCGGGGAAGGAGCTGGGTGCCGGTTCCGGCGCGGCCCTCCGGGTTACCGACTCCAGGGGCCGACCTGCCTCGCCGCGCCGGGCCCGGCGGAATTCGCTCCCGGGTCTTTAAGGGGCGGGGTCTGTTGACGCGTCATCGGTGTGCGCCGCCGGCCGTGGTCTCCACGTGGGTTCAGCAGAGACGCTTCCCAGGGGATCATGGCCGGGGCTCAGGCCCCGCAGCCGCAGAAGCGCTACTATCGACAACGCGCTCACTCCAACCCCATGGCGGACCATACGCTGCGCTAGTGAGTGAACGGGGCAGGAAGGAGGGCAGAATACTCGGAACGGCCCAAAGCCAACCGGAGAGCGATCTTGCGGGGATTGTTGGGAAGGCATAGGATAGCCCCGGGAGGATGGGCTGGGTGTGGTCAGTTTCCCGGGTGGGTGGGGTCAGCAGTGGGCGGGGTTGGCGGGGGCGTGGCGTTATGCCCAAGACTGCGCAGCGGTGCTAGTCCGGCTGGAGAGAAATTGTTGTTGAGGCTGGGGTGATGGCGGCAGAATGCCGTTTACATCTTGAGGTTTCCTTTGTCGTTTTTAATAAAAGACCCAATCCTGCCCTCACTTTACTCCATCCTCTTCGCGCAGAGCATGTAAATAAAGTAAGATCCCAGGGCCTTAGACAGCCAGTGTCTGGGAGAAGGGGAACTTGTGCCCAGCCAGAGGCACATCAACCCCTAATTACGGAGATGGGCGGGTCTGCAATCATAGGCCTCATGATGGACCTGTGATTCACAGGGTGGTTTCCACTTTGTCTCCCAGAGGCCACTGGACCCACTGTTGCAGAATTTTTGAGAAACCCTCCCAACTACTTCACACTCTTACATCTACCCACGCACATGAAGTACCACTTCTGCATTGGTATGGCCAGCTTTTTCAAGTTTCTCATGTCTTCTTTCCAACAGCCCTGTGAAGCCAGAGGAGATGGATTGGTCTGAGCTATACCCAGAATTCTTTGCTCCACTGACTCAAAATCTGAGCCACGATGACCCAAAGGATAAGAAAGAAAAGCGAGCTCAGGCCCAAGTGGAGTTTGCAGACATAGGCTGTGGCTATGGTGGCCTATTAGGTAACATTCTGTCTGGCCCTTTCTCTGGACAGGGGAGGCAGTGCCTAGGTTCTGCCACCTCAGCAGTTTGGTGGGGGCCATAGTTGGCCTTTCCCCTTCGGACCCAAAACTGATGCTATGACGTCAGTGTGGAGTGTCTCCACCTTCCCTCTACTCTGGGTCTGTGGCCTTTGCCCTGGAGAAGGGAGGGGGCTGCCTCAGATGCCTCTTAGAACTTAGGTTGTCCAGTCTCGCCTTGCCTCTGGCTCCAGTCACTACGTGAGCAGTTTCACCTGCCAAGTCCTGGGTCAGTGAGCTGGTAAGCACAAGCATCAGAGATTAGCCACTGTGTCCAGTGATCCTGAACTGACTTTCTCAGGGATTCCACCACTCCCCCCTTCCTCACCAGAACTCATTCCTGCTGCTCCACTCTCCTGTTGTTGAGTTCCTCTCGCATTGTCTATATTGCCCCAGACATGCTTGCTTAGCCACTTCTCTATTTTTAATTCTCCTCAAAGAGATGAGGGCATGACGGAGATGAAGAGTGTGATACTTGGTGGCAGAAACTTTGGTTCAAGTTCCAGTTCTCTCTTTTCTTAGCTCTGTGACCTTAAGCATTTGTGACCCTCAGTTTCCTCCTATTCACAACTTACCACAGAGCGCCAAGAGTGTTAAATGAGAGAAAGTATAAGAACACTAAAGCACTTACAAGTATACATGTACTCCCAGGCCCTCCCACTTCCAGTTCTGGTGACAATTTTTGGATCTCCCCAGCCTTCTCCAGCGTAGAACCATCCATATAGACATTTCTGTGCCCACACTTGCCATTCCTGATTTTGGTAGTTGCAAACTCAGGTTTCCTTTCCTTTATTGACTCCTTTGAAGTTCCTGCAGTATGAGGTTGATGATTCCACTCTTATTTCTGTGTCTAGTGGAACTGTCACCGCTGTTCCCAGACACGCTGATTCTGGGTCTGGAGATCCGGGTGAAGGTCTCAGACTATGTACAGGACCGGATTCGAGCCCTACGAGCAGCTCCTGGAGGTGGCTTCCAGAACATCGCCTGTCTCCGAAGCAATGCCATGAAACATCTTCCCAACTTCTTCTGCAAGGGCCAGGTAGGGAAGGGCCTGGGGGGTTAGGCTGGCAGGAAGGTGGGACTTGGAGGCCAGGCTCTCACAACCCAGGCAATGCATGTCTGTCTCACAGCTGACAAAGATGTTCTTCCTCTTCCCTGACCCACATTTCAAGCGGACGAAACACAAGTGGCGAATCATCAGTCCCACATTGCTGGCAGAATATGCCTACGTGCTGAGAGTTGGGGTAAGTTGAGAGTGGGAGGGAGGGTGGGGTGAGTGACCTCTTCAGGGACCTTCCACTAAGAATTCAATGGGAGCACATTCCATGATCTCACTGCTTGATCGCATGCAACCCTCTCCCTGCCCCCCTCCCTGATTTTGCCTACTCAGGGGCTGGTATATACTATAACCGATGTGCCGGAACTACATGAATGGATGTGCACCCATTTTGAAGGGCACCCCCTGTTTGAGCGTGTGCCTCTGGAGGAGCTGGTAAGTTGGGGCCTACGGGAAATTGTGAAGACACAGGCCCATTCCAGAGTGGTTCTATATTCTCTGAACCTTGCTCAGTGACAGGAGGATGGGATGGGAGTCTTGGGGCTGGAGGTGGGCAAGAACTTATTGGGCCCTTCTTCCAGAGTGAAGACCCCATTGTGGGACATTTGGGCACCTCAACCGAGGAGGGAAAGAAAGTTCTACGCAATGGAGGAAAGAATTTCCCAGCCATCTTCCGAAGAATACAGGATCCCACCCTCCAGGTGGTGACCCCCAATCCTACCCCTCCTGGTCACTGACTGCTTGCCTTGCTTTATTTGGACTCCGTATTCCAGGAACTAGAAAGAAGATCAACTCCCTGGACCTTCCCGGCTGAGACTGTTGGGGCTTAGAGGCAACAGCCTCTCAAAGAAGTTGGGGAACTGCCCAGGGCCGAACCCTGGTTTTCACAGCTACCCTTGCTTCCTCTCACCTTCCTGACCCTTTTTGGCCTTCAGAAGGCAGAGAAGCTGACCAGGAAGGTCAGAAGACCGAGGACCAGAAGGGATGTTTGGGAGGGTGTGGGGTCTTGCTCTCCATTAGCACTTCCTTCTCCCTCTGGGATCTCTGTCTCGAGTGTGGAATACAATTCTCCACTGTCCATCTAAACAGCCTGCCAGGCTCAAATCACCTGTCCACTCGTGTGCCCTTTGCAATTCTGGGACTAACATTTGCGTGGGCACATGCCCTGCTGCTGTTTCTTGGGGAAGGCTAGAATGCGTATCAGGTGCCTCCTCCCATCTTCTTCCTGCCTAAGACTTGACCTGGGGAATCTGTGCTCCTTTTATTATGCCTGCCTCCGAAGAGCCCCAGGGAGGGTGTGGGGTTGGATACCCTCCTTTTTCATATTGACCTTTCCTTCCAGAACTTCGGGGCTGACTGGCTGGCACAGAGCCTGATGGAGGAGGGGTGGGAGAATAAGGAGCAGAAAACTCAACTGGAGGGTTCTGAGGCTAAAAGTGAAACGGGGTTGCAGACTACAAAGCCCCCCAAAAAAGACAGTCAACTGGAGATTCAGAGCACTCATTTATCCCTAGCTGTGCCCAGCAGTCCAGAGAAATCTCTGAACTTTTCTAATTTGCAAGAGTTTTTTCATTTCTGCTCCGCAAGCCCCAAATTCCCATGGCTAGGACAGGGCATAGTGACCTAACGGGACCACCCACAGACCTCCGCCAGGAACAAAGATGAAGGCCTCGGGACCCATTTTAGCCCATGAACTCACTTGCCTTCTGGCCAGTGTCAGGTTCAGGAGGTGGATGAGATGTGGTAATGCAAGAAAGCGCTGCTCACATAAGTGCAGCCCAATGAGCCAAGAATATGGGGACAGCTACAGCTGTTCCTCTTCCCTGCTTGCTTCTCTTCCCGGAGGAGCTGGAGGATGGGGAATTCCTGAGAACCGGCTAAGGGTCTGGCTCCCTGGAGAAGTGCAAATATCAGGGACTGACTCTGTCTTGGTCATCTAAACCTCACTAAATAGTCTTTCCCAGGAAGAGGTCTTCAGGCTGCTGGACTACGATGCCAGCCCAAAAGGGGAAATTGAGGCAGGCCTCCCCTCCTAAAAGGGTCATTGCAACTCCAGATCCCAGGAAGCTGTGGAGACAGCCTCAGCCCCTCCTACTGTTTTAGGTGCTAATCCCAGCACAGACCACTCAGGAAAGAGGATTGGTTGAGTAACTTGGAGAAGGGGCGTCACCACTACCTCACCCAAGGGTTAAATAGGGTTGCAGACAAGATGCTCAGAAGTACTCTATTCCTAAACCACATCATGACCCAGCCCCTCAAGCTCGCCCGGAGAGTGTTGCATCGCGCCCGCTGCGCTGAGCCGGGCGCCTCGCTGGGCTCCAGAAGCTCTGGCTCAGCGCCCTGGAGTTTGGCGGACATCCCAGGCCCCTCCACGCCGGGTTTCCTTGCCGAACTTTTCTGCAAGGGCGGACTGTCGCGGCTACACGAGCTGCAGGTAGAAGGGGACTGTTTCTGGGAGTGAATGCTGGGGAAAGAGACAAGTGTAAAAAGTAGGAGGGAAGGCCAGTGAGAACGGATGCCCATGAATTACAGAAAAAAACAAGTTAGGATGTGGGGCTTTAGGTCGAGCTGTGCAGAGTCCACCCTGGCACCCAGCAGAGGCGTTCACTCAAAAAGCGCCTTCTAGCAGGGAAGAAGTCTGGAAGTCAGGTAGGTGGGTCCGGGACAAGGGTGCGAGAGACAGAAACGCACATTACCTCCCCGTGCATTCAGCGCATTGGGCTTAAAACTACCTGTCCTCCAATACAGTCAGTGGGGTCTCCTCCTGAAATGGACAGTCCACATGAGGAACCTTTAGGGGTTTTTCTGCCGCGGTTCGGCCCAGGTAACCAAAGAGAGATACCGAATGAGCAAAGTTTTTCCGTTTTGCCCATCACACTCAAACCTAGAAATGGGAAGTGGGGGAAAGTGGGAGGGATTTGCAGCACTAGAACCATACACTAGATGGGAGTTCGCAAAAGAGCAGACGCTCCCCTTTCAAAGTCCAGCAATGCCCTTGGTCTTGGCACGGGCCAAGCTGGGAGTCCCGTGCCCGTGTCTCCAGGATTCACCGCGCCCACTCTCCCAGGTTAGGGGCACCGCGCGCTTCGGTCCTGTGTGGTTGGCCAGCTTCGGGAAGGTGCGCACGGTGTACCTGGCAGCCCCCACACTCATTGAGCAACTGCTGCGACAGGAGGGGCCCCGGCCTGAGCGCTGCAGCTTCTCGCCCTGGGTTGAGCACCGTCGCCGGCGCCAGCGGGCTTGCGGACTGCTCACCGCGTGAGTCCTCTCTGGCCCCAAAACCCAGAACCTCTGCTGTGTCCTCCTGTGCAGGGTCTGGAGACAGTCTGGAGACAGGCGGGTGTAAGGGCGGCTGTTTCACCAACTCTGGCTAATAGGGGTTTCCACCTCAGTCGGTTTCACCCAAACTCAGGAAGAGCCCAGTCCTCGCCTCACCCCCTTCCCCCCGTCCTTCTTTTGAGCACAGAATCCTGGGTACTGGCACAAGGGGCTAGGGTACCAGGATCCAGATAGAATGCAAGATTCTGTGAGTCAGGTTACCCAGGAACCCAGGCCCCTCTGGGGCAGGAAATGAGTAACGAGGAAGGGGGAGGAAAAAACGGGCGCCAGCAGGGCAGGTTCCTGTACCCCGAAGAAGCAGACGCAACCCCTAATCTAGCCACCAGAGCCGAACGCGGTCCTCCACCGCAGCGTCTAGCGGTCTCCACGCACCCCCATCCGCCCTGATGCGCCCTCTCTCCGTACCCTCGCAGGGAAGGCGAAGAATGGCAAAGGCTCCGCAGCCTCCTTGCCCCGCTTCTCCTCCGGCCTCAAGCGGCCGCCGGCTATGCTAGGACCCTAGACAGCGTGGTTCTTGACCTTGTTCAACGACTGCGATGCCAACGGGGACGCAGCCCCGGGCCCCCCACCCTGGTTCGTGATGTAGCCGGAGAGTTTTACAAGTTTGGACTAGAAGGTGAGTCTCTAGACAGTTCGGGGCAAGCTTAGGAAGCACCCGCAAGGCGGTGAGGGGGTGAAGCACCCCCCAACCCCCAGTGCCCTGAGAGCGCCCCCTCTCGGTCAGGCATAGCTGCGGTGTTGCTGGGTTCGCGCCTGGGCTGCCTGGAAGCTGAAGTGCCTCCAGACACAGAGATGTTCATTCGCGCTGTGGGATCGGTGTTTGTGTCCACACTGTTGACCATGGCGATGCCCAAATGGCTGAACCGCCTCGTGCCGGGACCCTGGGGCCGCCTTTGCCAAGATTGGGACCAGATGTTTGCATTTGGTAAGGCACAGAAATGAAGTATGGACGGGGGGTCGTAATGCTGTGCAGGGGTAGTGAGGCATTCGGGCACCTTCTCTCCTCGCAGCCCAGAAGCACATGGAACGGCGAGAGGCTGAGACAGCCATGAGGAGCCAGGGAAGGCCTGAGGAGGAAAGGGGATCTGGGGCGCACCTGACCTACTTCCTGTTCCAGGAAGAGTTGCCTGCCCCTTCCATCCTGGGGAATGTGACGGAGCTGCTGCTAGCCGGAGTGGACACGGTAAAGTTCTCCCTCCATGGTGCGGGTCCTCCTTCCAGAGCTTGGCCTCCCAGAGCAGCTCAGCCCTGCTGCAGAGGATTCACTATGGCCCTCCAGACCAGCTTGGTTATCGCCTCCTGAGCTCCAAGCAGCTTCATGTTCTGCTCCCTGGACTGGTTCCCCTCTCTTAATACTTCCGATGCTCTCACCTGTCCTCTCAGGTGTCCAACACCCTCTCCTGGGCTTTATATGAGCTCTCCCGACACCCAGAAATCCAAACGGCACTCCATTCTGAGATCACAGCTGCCTTGGGCCAGGGGTCCAATGCCCGCCCCTCAGCCGCTGCTCTGTCCCAGCTGCCCCTGCTGAAGGCCGTTCTCAAGGAAGTGCTAAGGTGAGGGGACAGTAGAGGAGGAGCTAGAGAAAATACCAGGGAAGGGCTATAGAGGTAGGTGATGGGGAAACAGTCTTGTACATGCAAGCAGGGAGAAAACAGAATTCAGTGGTACTCCTGGCCAAGAATGGGTTTGGAACTTGCCAGCGGGTGAGGGAGGCTAATGGCCCCCAACTCCCCTTCCTGTCTCTCCCTGTGCTCTGCAACGCAGACTGTACCCCGTAGTGCCTGGAAATTCCCGTGTTCCAGACAGAGACATCCGCGTAGGTGATTATACTATCCCAAAAAATGTGAGTAGAGCCTGTGGGTCCGTTTTGCTAAGCCATCTCTCACCGTCGTGGCCCCTGTCCTGTAACAGCTCTCCATAGCCCTTCAGACCCTCTGCTCACCTGAATGCAGTGGAGAAATCCTTCCAAAAGCAGCCCCAGAAAGTTTCCCCATCACCTACCAGAACCCGCCTTCATCCCAGTCCATGTAGCCCCTCCTCCATGTCCCTCCTTGCGTTCCTGGGCCAAAATTGACAAGTTTGTGTTTTTCCCTCACCAGACGCTGGTCACTCTGTGTCATTATGCCACTTCAAGGGACCCCTCTCAGTTCCCAGAGCCAAATGCTTTTCGTCCAGCTCGCTGGCTGGGGGAAGGTCCCACTCCCCACCCATTCGCATCTCTTCCCTTTGGCTTCGGCAAGCGCAGCTGCATGGGGAGACGCCTGGCAGAGCTTGAGCTGCAAATGGCTTTGGCCCAGGTGAGTGATCTAGACTGGGAGGGACCTAACACTCTAAAGCTGTGAGCTCCTCTTCTGACAAGCATGGGGGAACAATTAAGATTTGGTAGACCTAATTCTCTGCAACGTGTCAATCCCATTATAGGCCTAGAAACTGAGTGAGGGCATCTGGACTACTTTTCTCCCTACCATAATCCATTGTCCTGGTTAACCAAGAAGTCCATTACCAGCCACAGATGCTATTCCAACCTTGACCATCCCAACACTCATAATGCCTATGACCAAAAGAGCCCACCACTGTGGACACCTCTCATAGTGACAGCCTTTCTCCTCCCATTTCAGATCTTGATCCACTTTGAGGTACAGCCTGAGCCAGGCGCTGCTCCTATCAGACCCATGACCCGGACTGTGCTGGTACCCGAAAGGAGCATTAACCTGCAGTTTGTGGACAGATAGTCCTGTGGAAGCACGCTGTTATCATTA